TAAACAGACTGATGGGAAACAAATGATGTGCCGATAAACAAGCTTGAAAATCTTGCTGTACTTTATGGACGTTTTTAGGAGTTTATGTTTTTCAAAATACAAGGTCTTTAACAAAAAATAACGTATACTTATTGTCGTCGGATTAACACCAAATTTTCACAGCTTTAAGGTGACAATGAGAGGAACTTGAATGTGTCCAGACAAACTATTTCATCGATTATTTACCAACGAGTTGTGGTTTGAGTTGGGGGCAATGCGACTAAAACAGTAATTGAAATTCAGGACACTATTTTTTAAAACGCGTTGCTTGAATAAAACTAACCAGACACATTCAATTTACCAGACTATTGAACAACTAGGAAAAGTGAAAAAAAATACTTCTTATCGCCAGCATAAATGCGTAATTATTTTTTTTACAGAAAAAGTAATTTTTCACCTTTGATTGAGTAACGCTTCGTAGATTGCAGATACGGGCATGCAAACTACACTTGTGAAAAGCTTGAAGTCTGGCGATTCTAAAAATATATACTTTCCCGGGTCTATTTGTAGTCATTTAGTCACAATTAGAAGATGAATACAAGTATGCAAATAATAGTCCCGCTACCTTAAGAACAATAAGGCTTCCTATCTCGCAAAACTTATCAATTAAAAGAAGTTCCAGTGTTTCTGCCTTGCAGCATTTTCAAATTATGATGTCATTACTGTTGCATGGATATCTGTAATATTTATACAAGGTCCGAAAAACAAGAACAACTGTCACAGTCTATAAATATCATATAGCGTTTGTAGCTACTGACTAACACACACTGAATTTTAAATTCGTAGCAAACAGTTATATATTTCGGTGCCTGTCTCTAGTATTCAGACTAATATCTATTAAATAGCATTTTTGGTAGTAATTAAATGTGTTTAATATGTTATTGATTCCACAGCTGATGACTATGGATTTGAGAACCAAGCATACAACAATACAGTGTGTCAGACACCTCATCTCAATAAATTAGCCAGTCACAGCGTCATATTCAAACATGGTTACACTGCTGTCAGTAGCTGCTCACCAAGCAGATCATCCATACTAACAGGTCTACCACAACACCAGAATGGCATTTATGGCCTCGCAGGTGGCATTCATCATTTCCATGCATTTGACGAAATCCGAAGTTTACCAGTAATTCTAAAAGACGCTAACATAAGGACAGGTAAGTGAAATGTTACAATTTATGATACTTAGGTATGTACACATGATGAAACAAAAGTCTTCTTTGAGTAGCAAAGCCAAACTATAACTACTACAACATTACTCCTAAAGGAGAAGTCGGCATATTCAACAGTTGGGTTAAATTATCTTTGTGACATCCTTGTTTCTGTGTTGCCTTATTTTAGGTATCATAGGAAAAAAGCATGTGCAGCCCGACACAGTCTTCAAATTTGACTATGAAAGAACAGAAGAGCAGTATTCCATGATGCAAGTAGCACGTAATATCACGTTTATGAAAGAACTGGTACATGAATACCTTAATGTCAATGACACAAGGTATGTCAGTTTAAAATGAGCTCAGTCTAGCCAGTCAACCATTCATTCATTCATCCATCCATCCATCCATCCGATCAGAAACTAAATTAAAGTGCATTACAGTTTATTAAGCATAGGTGAATAAAATTAACAGAAAATGTCTTTATTACAAATTTCGAATGATGCATACACGCATGCAAATAGAAAGTCGAGTGTTGACTTTTATTTGTCGTACCTCTTAATTTGAACTGAAAATGATACTAGTATACCCGTTTTACACATTTCTTGTTTTAGGCCTTTCTTATTATATGTTGCTTTTAATGATCCACATCGATGTACAGCTGATTTTGAACATGGCGAGTTTTGTGAGATGTTTGGGAATGGCCAGCCTGGTAAAGGTGTGATACCAGATTGGAAACCAATTCATTATAAACCAGAAGATGTGGAATTGCCGTTCTTCATCCAAGACACACCTGCAGCAAGAGATGAAATAGCAAAGCAGTACACTACCATCAGTAGAATGGACCAAGGTGAGCAGAGAGGGTTGTGGGAGGTCGATTGATCGACGAATAATTTACAAGATTGAATTTAATGTGTGGAGATTAACCAAAATTATAATGAGCAATAGTGAGTTGAGATGGGCGTGAACCGTAAATAGCAATAAAATTGAAGTATTGGTAGAATGTATCAAGGAAAGTGTAGATTGTATGGAACGTCTTTGATGATGTTCAATTATGTAGAGGCAATAGCAATTAATAGATTGGATTTATTATAAGGAGCTGATGTGGATGTTGTATGATTCGGATGCCATTGAGCAGGTTATGCATAATTTGTTTAGTTAAATATAATGTGTGTCAACCATGGGAAAAATTATGCCAGTGTGAGCCAATGTAAGAAGCTTGAATGATAGTATGAGAGGAAACCCAAAGACACATGTGAACATTTGAACGAACCAATTCTCAGTTACACTATTTGATTTTCTGTCTTTAGGTATTGGACTTTTTATGAAAGAGCTTGAACAGGCCGGGTTCAGTGACAACACATTGGTTATATTCACCTCTGATAATGGAATACCTTTCCCTGGTGCAAAGACAAATCTTTACGAAAAGGGTATGGGAGAACCATTCCTTGTTTCCTCGCCATATCACAAGAAAAGGTGGGGACAAGTAAGTGACGACTTGGTTAGTAGTTTGGATATCATACCAACTGTCCTGGACTGGTTCGATCTTTCATTTCCAGATTATAAATTGTTCAATGAAAAAGTGAAGTTGAGTGGCAAATCTTTACTCCCAGCTCTAGAAAAGGAGCAGCCAACATGGGACACTGTGTTCGCTAGCCATGATTTCCACGAAATAACAATGAACTACCCAATGAGGGTTATGAAACATAAAAACTACAGACTTATACATAATTTAAACTACCGAATGCCCTATCCAGTCGCCCTAGATGTTGGTCTCTCTGCAACTATGCGTGATATCCTAAATCGTACTGAAGCACATCAGAAAACTGGATGGTACAAGACACTTGATGAGTATTATTACAGAGATGAATGGGAGTTATTTGACGTAAGCAAAGACCCTCATGAGCTGAACAACTTGGCACAAGATCCACACCATTTGAACGTCTTTCAGGATATGAAGAAAAAACTGTCGTCATGGCAATATGAAACAGGTGACCCATGGAGATGTTCTCCAGAGGGTGTTTATGTGGATGCTGGTGTATACTCTAAGGATCCTTTCTGTTTGTCTCTTCTTAATGTTCCACCAAAGTGACATTTCAAAAGTCTCGAAAGATTAATTTTCCCCTAAAGTAGACTTAATAGCACGGATATTGTTAAATTATATTAAACAAACCCAATTATTACACCAGATTGAAATATAAATAAATAAGAATAAATAAAAATAATACATTTAGCGGAAGTTGCCAGTGCAGCCGTGCTTAGTATACTGGTGATTAACAATATCGCCATCATATCATACGCGACCACGAATAAATTGATATTAACTAAAAGAAAAGACTAACAACCATGAGTTCAAGCTGGATTATTCAAATTTATCGAAATTGTTTATTATAATATAAAGTTATTACGAGGATACCTCAAAGAAGTATGCACGAAGACAGTACAGCTGGACTATCGACCGACGCGCAGCGGGGGTCGATGCAAGGCTTACTGTCTGAGTGCGTACTGTCAAGCACACTTTGTACTCCATTATGTTGTGCTTTCGTTCATTATGAGCCACCGGGGAGTACATTATTGTTTAAATATAATATATACAGAGAATATTTTCTTAAAGTTGATGGTGGCGACATTCTCTCTATTGATTCAGGATGTATTGGTGCTGGTGTAATTCTGAAGATTGAATATGTAAATATATATAAATATGTTTTACTCAAATAGTGCCCACTTCTATAAATACATAATGTGGGTGACTTGACAGGTATAGGTAAATATTAGCTGTCTCATTTGCTTTGTAATCTGCTAGTAATACATGTATGAAATAAAATAAAACATTCTTTACAACCATTTATGAGTGCTAAATATGGTCGATACTAGCTTTTTTTATTTCTGTGATTTTCATGCAAATGTGGGCCAAATTTAAAGGTCAGATTACTGCAGTTGAGCCACGATGTCATTGCTGTGAGAAACATATGCTGTCATGTTCAATGAATGGTCATTACACAATTCTGTGTCAAAACTTCAAGTTATGTTAATTCAAAGTACATGAGTGGATTAGTGGGTAAATTATCATACGGCAATTAATAGCATCTTTCACAGATTAGATCTGAGAGTAGATATTCAGGGGTCACTTCTTGTGTAATGAACACGAGGAAAACAGTATTATGTATGCCACCATGTCATGTGACACAGCTAGCGTCAGATTCATTATCCGATAATCTAAAATAAATAATGATTAGTTTGTGTCCACACAATACTGTATAATATTGCAATATAGACCACGGTAATTCCATTAAAATATCGCTGGTATGTTATTATCGGAGATGTTCCTATAATATCGATAATAGATTTATATTGCAGGTATACAAGAGTCTGGAATAGCTTAAAGGGCGTCGCGTCGCGTCCTGTTCGATATGAGACTCATAGCGACGTATACAACGCGTGTAAAATACATTGTTTGTATACATGAAATTCGAACACGCGCTGCGTGACGACCACCGCCCTTTAAATTGTCGACAGTTGATGGCGTCGGTCGGTGGCGAGAGACCGTATTAATTCATTTCTGAGTCTATACTGTTGTCGACAAAACAATGATCGTCAGTCTATGCATGGACCTACAAACGTGGCTTGTAGGACCATGGTATATGCTATAGCTCTGGCCGTCTTTAAGAGAAAACACAAAACTATGCGGATTTATTTTGTGAAAAGTTATAAAACATGACTTTTAATGACTTTGTATTATAGTATTCCATTGTAACTAAACAGTAAGAGAAACAATCAAAGAACGATTTTAATGTGAGTCATGCAAAACTTAAAGTAATTTTGTGATTTTTTTCTCTAGAAAATATAAATATGACAAACGAAGCTTTGAACTGGCTTACACATTCTCTTATGGAAGCAGATTTAGTTATTCATGGTTTTGGTAAAAATATCGATATTATTTACAGTGTCACCTATTATTATGTATATGCAGTATGAGGTCGGTCCGGGGCTTATGACGGTCAAGTGAATTTGTAATATTTTCTAAAATCTAACATTTTGTTTTTATTTTAAATTGACAGTAAGCAATTTAAAGTTTACCTGTGCTTCTCCAAGATATGCCTGTGGTGGCGACATCTCCCTTTCGACAACAGAATTTTGAAATGAACGACAAAAATCAAAATTTTCAATTTGAGACTGTTCATTTTATTTACGCGCTGGTGGGTGTTGTCAGTTATTTTCATATCGAATCGTTGGCAACGGGCCCAACGAATATGATAGATCGATAGCGTCTGAGTTTTTTTTTTTTTTTTTTTTGGAACGTTTTTAAATTGTTATATTTAGATGCAACTGTCGAGATATGTTTACATAACTTGACATGCCCCTATTTCCAAATATGCTAATACAATAATAGAATTAAAAACTAGAAAAGTAAAAATTAAAAATTAAAAATTCAACCTGGTATTGAAAAGTACCTTACGTTATATAATATAAATCTCACTAGTTTTAGCCTCAGTAACTACCAACTAAAAATTGAAATGGAAAGACAGTTTTAAGCGTTTTGCTAATAACTTGAAATTATTACGCAATGCGTGAATCGTACACGTGTGTGTGTGTGTGTGAACGTTGACCTTACAGAATGCGTAGCCATTGTTCTAATGCAAATTAACGCTGTGACAGGTGTACCCTGACGCAAGATCTGCATAATGGTGAATATTAGGAATTTTCATGATCATATTTGTAAAATCATATACTACTAGCCCTAAAGTCAATGTCAGACTGCCGCTATGCGAGCACCGGGTTTGAACCCAGTCTTTGTGTTTATTCCTTAGTGAAGTAAGACTTTGATATCAACGTCCATGGCGACGACTGGTGCACATACCGCTCTGGTCAGTGGAGCGACTAGTCTCTGAAATAATCAGAGTGATAATGTAATCCTGATACTGATTTCTATTTGGCAAGAAGAAAGAAATCATTAGATTGATAGATAGAACCTACTGTGATAGCCAAGTTTACGGGATAGTTGCAGAAAAAAGCAAGGCATTGTGATTAGAAAGACCCACAGAACAGTGCCATCGAAAAGTAAAATCTCTGAAATAAAAATTCAGGGGAATAACGGCAAATTATAAGCGTAGTGGTAGGATACGGATATATTCAAACACAGACCTAACTACAGAGGGCGTGCTACACAGACCTGATATAGAATTACGCCAGCGTTTTTTAGTATTGTGTGATCGCAATCAAAATACTAGTACGCAGTTGTGGAGCCAATATGAACACTCGTGTTCTCACTGGCTCTACAACGGTGTATTTCTGTGTGAACCAGGTATTAGTCACGGTGTGGATAATGTCCAGAAATGGAACATTGTGATTGGTCGAGATGCGGTAGGTGGATTTTAATCAATGATTTATAAATTATTCTTCGGCGAAATGACGTATTTCTTGATTCACACACGCATACAGGTGTCCCATGAATTGTGGAGCCACCATTGGATTAACTTTTAATATAGTTGAATTAACTTTTAATATAGTTGCGATATGAACTCGATTAAAACGCGTTCCTATATTTGCTTGTTTTCAATTAATTTTAGCGTACCTCTGCAATTTATTTTAGCATTGTCAGTTGTTTGCTTCATTGAATTAAACGGAGTTCATCCGGTTGCGAACAAAGCTGTCTCGCACCACCTAGCACCTAGCACCTAGCATTGGACAAAAGATACACGAAAGTTTGTATCTCCCCGACCCAGTGCAATATATCCGGTTAGAATCAAAGCTCACGTGTCCCTTATTTGAGGGACCAGATTCTGCCGTAAATTCGGGATGGGATTTAGAAAAAAAAAGAATTAGCTTGTGAACATTATGTTGTAGTAATCTGTATTGCTCTATGTGAAAGTCTGGTAAACGAGAATTATGACATCGAATTTTAGGACTTTTACAATGAAATACGTTAATGCCATCGATATAAATAATACCATGGATGTACTAAGAAAGGATTCTTCGTACATCCATGATAATACCAATGTTAAAGCAGGGGAGTCGTCACCTGCGCATGCGTCTGTTGGTCATAGCGTGTCATTGTTTACAAACAAGCGGCTACCCATGAGCTTTTTGCGTTTTTAGCGTGTATTGTTGTCACTCAATTCCCGCGCCTGCGCAGGTGACGACCCTTCCGCTCGAATATGCATTCCATATTTAGGTCAACCCATAAATAATCAGGCAAAGCTTGCGGTATTGACAGTATGATCATTCTTTTGTTTTTGTGAGCTTTTTGTTGTATATAAGTCCAACGACCTACAATCCTGTTATAAAATATGATTATTGAAAAGACAGTCCAAATACAAACAACAATATTGCTATACAAATCTACTTACTAGTATTACGATGCGCGGCATAGCAACACATGACGATGGATGAAACTAATTTTTCACTTTTACTGTTTGCGTTGGTGGTAACAACATCAGCCTATAGCAGGAGACCGTTTTAATTTATTCTCTTTTTTACCGATTTCACACACAGTATCCTTCTCGTCTGAGTGGATTTTCTTCACATATTTTGTTGCTTACAATGGACATTATGGCATCTTATTTCAAGTAAAATTTAGAAAATACAACAAATGTAAAAAACAAAAACAGTGGAAACGAGACAAGTAGTTTGGAAAAAAAATAGTAAAGGGGTATTATTACATTATGTCCCCATTAATGTCTGTTGACGGTCATGTCATGACTGCAGTTATGTGGCTTTAAAAATGAAAGTTTGAGGAGTAAAGATCTCTTCGCGTTTTTCTTAAAATGTAAATGAAGAAAACAATTAACTACTGACCCCGACGTGATTCGAACACGCAGCCTTCTGATCTGGAGTCAGACGCGCTACCGTTGCGCCACGGAGTCAATGTTGTAAATGCATCATTAGTATTCTCATAAAACGTTAATTTATCAATTCTGCCAGTAATTAGAAATACATTCTCATCATAATTTACACTAACTTAGGCTTGAAGTAATATTATCATGAGTGTAGTAGACAACTAACGACTCGCAAAACGCTAACCAATTACTATGAAGAATAATTTTAAATAGCAGAAACGTACACTGTGTTTACGGCATGCTCCAAGTAAATCTTGGAGAATTGACATGGTGACTGCCCCTTTACTGAATTTGACAAGGTATCTCGATACATAGAATGCTGAAGTTGAGTTAACGGAGACACGATTACTATTTTCTTTTTCTTCAGTAACCGTAATGAAGAATCGAGTTTATATCAATGGTGCAGTGTTTGGCATTTTATACTTCCGAATAGCCGATAATATAACAATATCGAACCTGTGCAAGCATTCAGAGATATCAAAGGTCAATGTTTTACTTTTTTTCCACATTCTCTT